GCCCCTGGGTGGCAGTTTTACCACCCCACCTCTCGACGTGTTCTGTCCTCCCAGGACGTCACGTTCGACGAGTCGGTACCCTACTACCGCCTCTTCCCCTACCGCACTCCGTCCCTCCCCCCACCCCCGCTCTTCTTGGTACCAGGTCCCCCCCCAGTAGTCCCCCTCCCCCCTCAGGGTCGTGCCCCTTCAGGTGTGTCTCAGGTAGACGCGGTCGAGCCTGTCGAGGTCACTGGTGACTCCGGTGCTGCTGCGGGAGCTGAGCCTGGGGGTGCGGAGTCTAGGGGTGCTGAGCCTGGGGGTGCTGAGCCTGGGGGTGCGGAGTCTGAGGGTGCTGGGCCTGGGGGTGCTGAGCCTGGGGGTGCTGAGCCTGGGGGTGCTGTGCCTGGGGGTGCTGTGTCTGGGGGTACTGAGCCTGGGGGTGCTGAGCCTGGAGGTGCCGAGCCTGGAGGTGCTGTGCCTGGGGGTGCTTCGTCTCGCCGGGAGCCGCTCTCTCCACAGGAGCTGCGTGAGTGGTTTGCCCGGCGCTGGAGGCGTGCCGCTGGTGCTGGTGGTTCTTCGGCTGCGGAGGGCGCTTCTGCCACGCGACCTGGCGGTGCTCGTCCTGTGGGTGCTGGAGCTGCTGGGTCTGAGGGTTCTCCTGGAGCTGGTCCTGCTGAGGACGTTGGCGCTGAGCCTGCGGTTGGTGGTCCGACTGACGGTGCTCCTGGTGCTGCTGCTGGAGGTTCTGGAGCTTCTGGTGGTTCTGCTGGAGGTGCTGCTGGAGTGGGTGCTCCTGCCGGGGGTGCTGGTGCTGTTCCTGCTGTTTCTGGCGTCGCCGCGCGGCCCCGACCGTACTTCGTTCCGCTCCTGCAGCAGGTTCTTGGTCTTACACCTCCTCCTCCTCCCTTAGAGGGTCCGCAGCCTGTCCGGTCACAGCCACAGCTACAGCCTGCCTCCCCTTTGCCTGCTCCTTCTCCCTACGCTGGTCCGACTGGAGGTCTTACTGAGCGTCGTGAGCCTGCGTCTCGTCCTGCGTCGCCTGTTCGTACTGAGCGCGCTAGTGGTCGCGGGTCGCGTCAGCGTCCTCCTCCTGTCCCTGGCACGCACCGGATGTCACTGCGTCCGTCCACTGCTCCTCTGCGTGCCCCTTTGCCTTCTCCTCCTGCTTCCTCTCTTCCTGCTCTTGCCGACCCGGAGTCGGACTCTCTTCGTGCTGCCAGTCCTACTGTCACGCGTCTCCTTGCTACTGCTGTCACTGACCCTTCCTTCGAGTCGTCTGCTGCGTCTGCCCTTGTCACTGAGCTTGTCGACTTTGCTGCGCGCTGTCGTCTAGACTACGCTGCTCGTCTTGTCGCTGAGTCTGAGTCCGCCTGTCCTCCGTCCGTCGGGGGTGAGTGTGCCCTTGGCACGGACCTCCTAGAGGACAGGCAGGAGGAGTTCCAGTGTCTAGCCGCTGCTTCACCTCGTCTCGCGTCTGTACTGCTAGCCCCTGAGGGAGACCCGGATGCACTAGACATCCCGACTCCGCGTTCTTACGCGGAGGCCGTAGAGGGTCCCTACTCCTCTCAGTGGCAGGCAGCTATGGATGCAGAGATGGCTTCCTGGAAGTCCACAGGCACCTACGTTGACGCGGTTCCCCCTCCTGGGGCGAACATCGTCAGTGGCATGTGGATCTTCAGGGTGAAGCGGCCGCCGGGCTCGCCGCCTGTCTTCAAGGCGCGTTACGTGGCTCGTGGCTTCAGTCAGCGGCAGGGAGTTGACTACTTTCAGACCTTCTCTCCCACCCCGAAGATGACCACTCTTCGGGTGCTGCTGCACATTGCCGCTCAGCGCGACTACGAGCTTCACTCTCTCGACTTCAGCACTGCGTTCCTGCAGGGTAGCCTGCACGAGGAGATCTGGCTGCGCCGTCCGCCTGGCTTCACTGGGACTTTCCCTCCTGGCACCCAGTGGAGCCTCCGACGGCCAGTCTACGGTCTCCGCCAAGCACCGCGTAAGTGGCACGACACACTGAGGACTACGCTTGCGGCTCTTGGGTTTGCTCCTTCTACTGCTGACCCGTCGCTGTTTCTTCGCACCGACACTTCCCTGCCGCCGTTCTACATCCTCGTGTACGTCGACGACTTGGTCTTTGCCACAGCGGACACTGCTGGACTCGCCTACGTGAAGTCCGAGCTGCTGAAGAGACACACGTGCACAGACCTGGGTGAACTGCGCAGCTACCTTGGCTTGCAGATCACTCGGGACAGAGCACGCCGCACCATTACCCTGACTCAGTCACACATGGTGCAGCAGGTCCTTCAGCGCTTCGGCTTCACGTACTCCTCGCCTCAGGCCACTCCTCTGCCTACTCGCCACTCACTCTCAGCTCTGCCTTCGGATGAGTCCGTAGAGTCGAGTGGTCCGTATGCAGAGCTTGTTGGCTGCCTCATGTACCTGATGACCTGCACACGACCTGACCTTGCATACCCTCTGAGCATCCTTGCACGCTATGTTGCTCCTGGGAGACACCGACCAGAGCACATGGCTGCAGCGAAGAGGGTATTGCGCTACCTGTGCAGTACGTCGGGCATGGGGCTAGTGCTTGGAGGGCGGAGTCCAGTGGTCCTTACTGGGCACGCAGACGCTTCTTGGGCTGACGACCAGGCTACGCAGCGGTCGTCACAGGGTTACACCTTCAGCCTTGGTTCCGGCTCTGTCTCGTGGCGGTCTACTCGCTCGTCTTCGGTTCTCGGCTCCAGTTGTGAGGCTGAGATCTACGCCGGGGCCATGGCTGCACAGGAGCTTCGCTGGCTCACCTACCTGCTGACTGACCTTGGAGAGCTGCCTCGTTCTCCTCCAGTGCTGTACGTAGACAACAAGGCCATGTTGGCCTTGTGTCGAGAGCAGCGCTTGGAGCATAGAACGAAGCACATTGCTCTCCGCTACTTCCTTGCTCGTGAGCTGCAGCAGCGTGGTCAGTTGCGACTTGCTTACGTGGCCTCTGAGGCCAACACTGCTGATGTGTTCACCAAGGCACTTGCGCCTTGCGACCATCAGCGCTTTTGTACCCAGCTGGGTCTTGTACCTGTCTTGCCTCACTTGCTCTCTTCTTGACTTTACTTGTACTTTGACATATATATACCTGCTCTTGCTTGTCTAGTTTTATATATATGTCTGTACTCCTGCATGTGAACTGGCCTCTGGCCTTGCTCTTGTGCTCGGACTGTGTGGTGACTTTGTGATCCACCCTGAGCTTGTTTTGCTTTGCTTGACTGGTCTTGTGACCCCTTGTTCTCCCCCACTTTGCCTATGGGGGTGTGTCAGATTATTATAGCTGATGCATGTTTGTAGGCTATAGTGGGGTAGCACATATGGGGTACAGTTTGCTAGGGTTGTATTTGTACCCAACTCTGACTTAGTCAATTCATTCCTGTTCAGTTAGTTTCACAGGAACCTGCTCGATACCATGAGAAAAGTAGAACGAGAATGAATGAACTATGAATGAAGTGAGTACAAATATGAATCCCTAATTGGGTTGTACCCCCTATGGGATACCCCACTATAGCCTACACAATAGCATAAGCTATAATGTTCTGACACCATGCTCCATATGCTGCTTGCGCATGACGAGAAACGGGCGGGGTGGATTACTCGCCGAATGCAAGTCTGGCGCAACACTAAATGGGAGCAGGGACGGGCTTACGTGTACATCCTGCATGGGGTGCCATATAAGGCAGGCTCCAACCCCCGCATCTCGCTGCCTGCGACCCCGAGCGCAGTTGAGGTGCCACGGATCACGCGCAAGCAATTCATAGAGCACCACCCTGCCGGTGAGTGATGGTGTTCATCAATACCTTGGCTGTATTCCATACGCTCCTTTTCCTTACTGCCGTGAGACGTGTGTGTGTATGGTGAAGCAGGCAATGGGACGTTCGAGCTGCACCCCTGGCATCGCAACGCGGCTGGCATCCCGTTTGCTACGGAGAAGTTTGAGCGCGCGATTTTCGCATCATTTCGGCGCCCTGTTCCGCCCCCGCTCCTTCTGCGCACCTACCACGTCGCCTTTTGGCTGTTCGGCGTAAGCTCAGGGAGTAGGCAATTTGACAAAGATGTGTCATGTAGCGTGTGTGCTAACGAATTGCACATTGGCGTGCGCAGGTTGAGTTTCCGCTTTTCAGCGGGACTATGAAGCGCAGCGCACCCCAGAACGAGGAGGGTGTGCGCTGGTATCATGAGCGTGTCAAGCGCTGGATGCACAGCGTGATACTGCGCCGCTCCACCGAGCACGGGCCGTTCTGGGATTCCGAGCGGCGCGGTTGGAGCTTTCGCCGCGACAGCCTCCTCCGCATATTGGAGGACGGAATGGAGCACCTGTCGCCAACGCTGCCTGCTGTCGCACCCACAAGAAGCGGATTGGTCTCGTAAACCCAGGGTGTTACCCCGTAATATGTAGCGGTTACAACGGTGTGGGATCAACCCTTTTTAGTCACCATTGCGGTTTTATCATGGTCGCATTTAGCCACATCAAAAACAAAACTGCTTTGTTTGAGCAAGGTGGTTACGTTAATTAAATTGTACGGAACAGTGGTTATCCCTTAGCCGGAAAATCCCGTACGGGGGACGCGCAATGTTCCGAGAGTGCTCCAACAGTCTCTAGGGTTTGTCCCAGCTGGTTGCATGCGCAGTCTGCCAACAATCCCGCCCCCTGTCAATGCATTGTCAATAATAGTGTTAGTTGTATGTTGCCGGCAGGTACTTCATGGAGTCCCTAAACAGTGGTTTAGGATTGTTTTGGCGCGGATTTGTTTGTGACGCCGCTTCATGTCCGCCAGAAGGTCAGGGGTGTTCGAGTGGTGATATGCTGCACAATCTCATCAGCTAATCAAGCTTTGAGACCGCACCGCACCCTTGCACTCCCAACTCTTGTCAAGCCGCAGATTTCCACCGCACACTGCCGTATTCGTAAGTTCAGATATCTCTTGTCATCCTGTATCCTCGCCCGTTCGAGCAAGCACAGCAGAATCGCCAGATCAAACATGGCCGAGGCTTCGGGTCGTGAAGCACCACCGCAGCAACAGGCCAGGCGAACCGACGGCGATCCCTTCTCTGCGTTCTCCGACAACCTGCTGGGCGCCGTGCTGCTGCGCGTGGCGTGCAACGGCGTCAGATTCGTTAGCCAGGATCGTCCTGTGACCGACGAGGAAGAAGCCGATGCGGCAAGGAAGATCGACGAGGCCCTCCTTGAGCAGCTCCCCTCTGAGAGCGCGTGGCTGGCCGCAAATCCCGAGGCTCCCGTTAGGTGTTCGTCGTCGCTGGTCTCGTTCCGCCACGCGCTCGTCTGCAAGCGCTGGTTGCGCGTCGCGCGGTTCGTACATCCCGCCATCGTCGTTCCGCTCGATCGCTTCTTTTCCGCGCGCGCCCTCGCGTCTCTCCTCCGCGCGCCCGCGACCGCGGGGTTCCCCAACCTCCGCCATCTGCACCTCGCGCCGAACGCGCTGGACACCGTCGATTCCGCGCTCGTGCGCGCCATCTGCGCCGGATCTGGGCCGTCCTTAACGCACCTCACGCTGCAGCTACACGATGCCTGGCTGCACGTGACGCGCGCGCGACGGTTCTCTCTTCGTGGGATTGGCGCGCAGGCGGCGGCAGTGGCGGAAGCGGCGCTAGCGGCGGGGGCGATCTCGCCGGCCGATGTCATCGCCTTGTTCCGCTCTTGCACGCGATTGGTCAGTCTCGACGTGAACTTTGGGAGAGGGATTTCCGAGGTTCCCGCTGCCATCAGCTGCCTGCAGCAGCTCACGAAGCTCAGCATGTCTTTTGACGAAGATGTTACCACGTTACCGGCGGAGATTGGCAGTTTGGTGCGACTGAAGCGGTTACAAATCCGGTCGACTTCCCTCGTGCTGCCTGATTCGTTTTGCGGGCTGTCCTCCTTGGAGCACGTCAGCTTGCGCGGCTGCGATTTTTCCCATCTGCCCATCGACCTCGGGCAGCTCCAAAACCTCAAGAGCCTCACTCTCAAAACCCTGATGCAGCTCGTCGAGCTGCCCGCCTCCATCTGCCTCCTCTCCGCGCTTACCAGTCTGACCCTCGTGCACTGCCACGCGCTCGCAAAACTGCCCGAAAACTTTCACCAGCTGCCGAATCTGCGCACCATCCACCTGGAAGCGCTAATCGCCCTCACTGCCCTCCCAGAATCCTTAGGTCACCTGCCAGCGCTGCGTGACCTCGCCATTCGAGACAGCGGTCGCCTCAAGCACCTCCCGCAGTCGCTCTCTGCCAGCCGCACGCTCGAGCGCCTCTCGCTCCACAACTGCCAAGCGCTCTCATCCCTGCCGGACGCCATGGGTCACATCCCCACCCTGCCGGACGCCCTCACGGCCCTTCCGGACTCCCTTGGTCGCGCCTCTCGCCTTCGCGAGCTCAAAGTCGTCAGTTGCAGCCGCCTCGTGGGTCTCCCACGCTTGGCCTCCGCCATGTGCTCCCTCGCCCGCCTCACTCTTGACGGTTGCGCTGCGTGGGTGCTGCCCGAGGATTTCGGGCAGCTGTCGAATCTTGTCCAGCTGAAGCTGTCCTGCGAGCGACTGACCGCCCTGCCCAGGTCGTTCGGGCAGCTGGGGAGGCTGCAGGAGCTGAGGCTCCACGCCTGCTACGGGCTACTCGAGCTGCCCGCGTTTTTTGCAAATCTCTCCTCGCTGAAAACCCTAGCCATCTATGGGGGAACGTCGCTCATCTCCCTGCCGCCCAATTTCGAGCAGCTCCCGCAGCTCCGCTGCCTGGAGCTCTTCAACTGCGCCATGCCGAGCCTGCCAGAGAGGTTCGGGCAGCTGCCAAAGCTGGAGGCTCTCATGGTGGGGAGCAGGGAGAGTTACACAAGGGACGGCGCGGATCAAGGGCAGCCCTCCTCATCTGCTTGCCCTGCAGCGCTCTCAGCGGCCAGACTGAATGAGCCGCTGATGGGGCGCTGCCTGCTGCGCAGCTTGCCCCCGTCCGTCTCTTCCCTCACGGGCCTGCAGCAGCTGGTGATGGACGGGTGTGACGCGCTAGAGAGCTTGCCAGAGGGGTTGGGACGGCTGGCTGGGCTGCAAGTGCTGCACGTCAAGAACTGCCCACAGCTAAGCTGCTTCCCCTCCCTCCTGCCCGCTCCTCCTCCCACCACCTCCACCTCTGCGCCTGGGGGGCGTTCATCCGCCGCCGCCCCTGCTGCCTCTGCTGCCCCTGCTGCCCCTGCTGCTTCTGCTGCCGCTGGGCCTGCTCCTCATTCTCGGACTCGTCCCTTAGCGCGCCCTGCTGCTTGCTCCACTCCGCTCCCAATGCTTCACAGCCTGGAGATCTCCAACTGCCCGACTCTAACTAAGTTGGAATATACGCGTTTAGCGTTTTGTACGCTTGCTGTATATACGCTAGCGTATATACGCAAACCGCAGTCCCTGAGGGGTCTGGTACGCCCAAGAATCCGCTTGCCCGGGCAGGAAAAAAGTTTTCCCCGGGCAGATTTTTGGGGTAAGAGGTGGGGATGGGGGGGTGTTGTAACCCCCATCCCCTTTGTATTAATATGAAAGTTACAGGAAAAAAAAACCCTTATGGCCAATCTGCCGCTACAACTTCACCCACCTTAATCATGCTCCCATTAGTACTCATCTGCCATCACATCATCCTCCCCCTCCTCAGGTTCCTCCACCTCCTCCGGGACGTTATAGCCAGCCGGAGTGGGGGGGTCCTCGATGTTTCCCTTCACCACCCCCAGCCCTTCAGGGGCCTTGTGCCAGTTGTGCACCACCTGCCAATTGTGCGTCACATACACCAGGTCACGAAGCTTCACCGCGCCGAGGCGGTTCCTCCTTGCCGTATGCACTCCATCAAACTTCGCCCAGTTACGCTCACATGGAGACGCAGACACCGGCTGCGTGATGGCGCGGCAAGCCATGGTGGTGAGCTCAGGATGATCGGTCCCGTGCCATGTCCACCAGTCCACCGCCGTCATCTTGCCCTCCTTCACTGCCTGGCGGTCGGCAATAGCGTCGGGCATGCCGAAGCTGCCTTGGAGGTTCAGGAAGGCATTGAGGCCTTCCTGGATGACGAGAGAGGCGCGGCGCTCGACCCCGTCCTTCCTGGTGACCATCTTGTCACCATGGTGCTTGGAGACGTACTGCTTGAAGACCCTCGTGCACTCCAGGTCGGTGCGGAAAATGCACTCTTCCTGGTTGGTGGGGTAGAGGATGCGGCCAATCACATGCAGGTTGCACGCCAGCCCGTTGTCCCAGCGGTCCTGCACGATCTCCCGAATATCCCCCACCTCGTTGCTTGTCCGGACCCCTTCCGCATGCTCGTCGAGGAAGTCGCGGATGTCCTCGGTGAGCTGGAGCATGAGGTCGTAGAGACGACCCATCATGCCCTTCGAATCTGAGTCAGTCTTGCGCATGACGACGAATGGCAGCCTCATCAGCTTAGCGAAGAACTCGGCGCGCGTCCACCACGCGGCATCGAGGATGTTGTCTTTGAATGTGTCTGCCCCAGCCCTGTCTGCAGCCGCAGTCCACTCGGCCCACTCATCGCTGAGGACCATCTGCGTCAGGCCGGCGCGCACTTCACAGAGGCGGTTGATGGCGATGTAGTTGGTGCCGAATCGGGTTCCCGCGGGCTTGAGAACCTGTTTCCCCTTGCCGCCGTTCACGAGCGGACTCCGCATGTATCCCCGAGTGAAGTGATGGTTGCGGACGAACGAGATGAGGGTGTCCCCGCGCGTGACGATGTCCTTCGCCCATCCCTTTTTCCCGATGTCCTCCATCAGGAGATCGAGGACATGGGTCGCGCAAGGGATGTGTTCAATGTGGGGATACTCGCGCATCAACACCCTGCATGCCGCCGCGTAGTTGGAGCCGCCGTCAAAACACAAGGCGACGACATTCTCGTGGCCGACCTTTTCGATGATGGGCCGCAAGATGCCCGCGATGTAGCCCCCGGTCTTCATCTCCATCTTCGTGTCGATCGACTCCACAAACACCGCACCGCTATCGTTGATGAGGAGCACGTTGGCTTGCGGGCGGCCGGCCTTGTCGGAGAACATGTCGCTTGCCACGATGACACCGTCACGGCGCCAGCTTGCTGAGATAGGAGCGAGCGCCGCCTCAATGCGCTGGCGACACTTCGCAAGACCGGCGCCACCGATGTAGCGTCTCTTCGGCGCGACGTAATTCGGCCCCGCGCGCTGGATGCTGGAGACCACATTCCGCCACAGTGGGTGGTCCGCGTGATGCTCCGGCACATGAAGAGCGGCAAAGAAGAGGCTTATGGCCTCGTCCGCAGCTTGGTTCGCGCACGCGGCGTCGTCGCCGTAGAAGTCGGACATCCGACTCTTCTTCTTGTTATCTCTGCCGTTGACTGCGCCGACCGCCGCAATTTCAGCCGCACGCTTCGCTTCACGGGCCTTCAACTTGGACTCGTAAAGCGCCTTCACGACGTCACGTGCAGTCTTCGGCGCTGCAGTGCAGAGATGCACTTCGCGACGGCGCATGCCGTTCCAGCTGGTGATATGCTGCGTGCAACGGTGAACCCCGCCAACAAACGTGAAGTTGCAGTAGGCACACACCTTGGTGCCGTTCTCGCCAACGCTATTGGCCGGCACCTTGAAGTGACGGTAGACTGCGTGCTTGCTGTCCATGCAGACCAAAGACGTACTAGAAGAGGTTCCACCAGCGGAACTACCAGGAGACTCTGAGGGTGCCGTACGAGAAGTGGTTGCTGTAGGAGTGGAAGCCATGGTGGCTTGGGAAAGGACATAGCTAGGAAGCGAGAGAATGAATGTCGAGGGAACAAACGCCTCTCTTTATGCCTGGGAGATTGGGTTGGGTTGAGCTCCCAACCAGTAAAGTAGCACTTGGAGGGGATGGTGGAATGCTGTGGTTCAAAGGGGTGTGAAACGTGTTGGAAACAATAAGTCCTAAGTGCGCTTCTGTCGTATCAAAGATCCTAAGGGGCTATCTCAGCCCAACATGGTATGAGAGCAGACAAGGGAAACTCTACTCTTTTTTCAATATCATTACAAGACATGGCAACAAACAAGGAAAGGAGCTCCCCTAATGGCTCCTCGGGCACTACTCCTACTCCACCGTCAGCCTCTGGCCTGCAGACAGAAGAAGGCACGGCAACAAGACCAAGAGGAACGTCAACCGAGACCCCCATGAACCACCCTTCGGACTTTGACCAGAACATGATGGAGAAATTTTTCTCCTTCATGTCCTTCTACGAACAACACCAGCAGTCGGGACCTGCACAAACACACAACAGCAACAACGGAGCGACACCCATGAGTCTTGATGGGTCGTCATATGCGCGAGGAAACCAGCAGCAGCAACCTACCTTTGCTCCGTACGAGCGCGGGTCAATCAGCTTCGTGCCCCACCCGCAACCTTCACCTGGACAAGAAAGACCACTGGACGCACTTCAAGTTCAGTCGCAGTTTGCACACGTCTTAAAACTGCAAACGTCAAGACCCTTCGACGGCAAAGACTTCTTTACCTGGTCCTTTGAATTCGAGCTGATGATGGAGGGCGCGCAGATACTCGGCTTCTTCGACGGGTCCCTGCAGTATCCAGCCAACGGGACACAATATGAAAAGCAGCAGTATACGTATCAATCAATGATGGCGTATACAATCCTATTGAGGAATGTGACACCAACTCAGCAGCAGAACATTCGCTCTTACCGGACCTTCGGCAACTCGGCGGAGCTCGCGTACAGCCATCTGAAGAACCTGTATCAAGCAACAGACAGTGTAAACCAGAGCAGGTTAATGGCGCAGTTGACGACAGTCGAAATGAAACCAGGAGAAAAAGGACTGGCGTATATCAGCCGATGTCGCGAACTGCGCGACAAGCTGCTTCGATGCGGAGGGTCAATCTCTGAAGACGCCTTCGTGACAGTCATCATTGGTGGGCTTGGTCCTCAGTGGCGCGCCACCAAAGCCATTCTTCGAGCCCACGGAAGAATCTCTGAAGCTGCACTCTGCGCCGAAATACATGCCGAGCAGCAAGATATGGACCTGCAGGAAGAACGACACAGGAAGAAAACGACAGTATCAGAGTTCGCATTCCACACTCAACGACGACACAGCAATTATAACAACCGACAGCAGCAACCGAAGATAGTACCTCCCTTCTGCCACATCTGCAAGACTTCAGGGCACCCGCGCACACACTGCCCGAATCGTCAGCAATCAACGGCACCACAGCGACAACTTCGACCTTCAAGCTCCCAAATGGCTTCAACACAAGCAAGTGCGACGACCACTATTCAAGCTTCAACGACTTCACCCGGACAACCTGCACAAGGAGCAAGAAATATAATCAACTGCATGACGAAGATAACCGATTCATGTACAACCGAATCACCACCACACTACTCACCGGAAGAAGAGCTTGACAACAGAACGCCTCGCCGTGAGCTACTCCAGCCGAATCCAACGTACGCCGCTATCGCTCAAAGTGAACCGTCCGGCCAAGACACCTGGTTCTTGGACAGTTGCTGCGGGCAACACATGTGCTCGTCCGGGCGTTTCGTACAACGCGAACATCGACTCCAACGGGAAGTGATCATCACGGTTGCCAACAACCAAAACCTGCGCACACGAAGACAAGGAGTGGTACAGCTTCAGTCAAGAGAAACAAATGTAATACTGCACATGTCTAAGGTACTCATCGCTGAAGGACTCGGCTACAACTTACTGAGCGTTAGCCAGTTGATGGCGAAAGGAATTCATCTGGAAGCCGACAGCACGACCCAGGAGTTCAAACTTTACCACGGGAGAGGCGGTCTCTACATCGGGAAAGCAGTGCTGAAGAACAACGTCTTCGTCCTCGACTTCGTTCCTGACCTGGGCACTGCAGACAGCGACGCCATCGTGAATTTCACTGACTGGACACACCCTCCGGATCTCGACCCCGACTTCAGCCCAGGAGGCTTCTGGTACTCGCACACCATTCCTGAAGCAGAACGAACACGAGCATTAGCAACAATTCGACAATCGGCAGCAGTAACAACATCGGCAGCAGCAACAACATCAGCAGCAGTAACAACATCGGCAGCAGCAACAACATCAGCAGCAGTAACAACATCGGCAGCAGCAACAACATCAGCAGCAGCAGGAACAACGACACCAGTCACAGTCGACGAAGCACCACCAACACCCGCGAAACAGCTGAATCCGACTCAACGTGAAGTCCACCGAAGCGCCAACCTCGTCGCCAGCTTTTACTCCAACTCCGACGCATATCAGCGTTCACCTGGACACCGTGCCTCTGAAGAGATCTGGCACGCACGAACAGGACATCCAAGTAACACGGTTTTGAATAACACGATAAGAGCAGGAGTCCTTGACAAAGATTCTCTACTTCTACCCGATGGCAGAGAACTCCAGAAGGCACGAGGGACTTGCCTTATATGTCCCGAAGCTGACTTACCTCATCGACCGTTTGCTTCACATCACAACCCGAGCGCTCCAGCGTACGCACCACTCGAAAAAGTCTACAGCGACATCCTCTACAATCGCGAGCCAGGACAAGTCAACTACAACTACACCATCACCTTCATCGACGCCGCCACTCGATACGTCTGGCATCGCAACCTACCCAGCCGCGACATGGCGCTCGCAGCATTCGCCGCCTGGCTACCGATAGCAGAGAGAGAGTCTGGAACACAACTGAAAAAATTCCAGTCAGACGGAGGTGGCGAGTACACCTCTCACCGCTTCAAGCAGTTCTTGGCGGAAAGGGGGATCAAGCAACTCCTCTCCCTTCCTTACGCACATCAGCAGCAAGGTGTTGCAGAACGACTGAACAGGACCCTGCAGAACAGCATGCGCAAACTATTACGTGGCATGCGGCTACCCAACCACCAGTGGCCAGCAGCAATGGACCACGCTGTCATGCTACACAACTTGTTGTCGTCGTCGTCACTCCCGAACAACGCATCACCGCATCTGCTGTGGACAGGGAAGCAAGGCAGCACGAAAATGTTACGAGTTTTCGGGTGCATGGTACAGTACAGACCCCCAGAAGCACGAGCGGGAAGATTTTCGCAACGGGCACAGTGGGGACTACACCTCGGCATCGAGAAAAATTACAACGCATGGAAAATCTTCGACGTCCACACAAAGGAAACAGTAGCAGCACGTGACGTGATCTTCTACGAAAGACTCACCCTTCAGACGTACCTCGCCAACTTGCACGAGAATCGGGACCTCACCAGTGGTTTTCGTGGTGACCGAGCCTTCGCGTCAGCAGCGGACGAAGCAGACTGGGATGAACAGAACGTCGACAACGCCTCAGAAGAAGCCGGACCTCTCCCATACTGCTCCGTCGACGTGCCCATGGATGAGGATAATCCTCGCGACAGTAACAACGCCGAAATCTTCTACCGTTTCGCCGACGATGGTTACGTAACACCTGTGACAGTCAACACCAACGAAGCAGAAAGGGTAGGGCCAAATTTCATGCCCGACCCAGAAACGGGAGACGAAGCAGCTTATCCCGAGGATCCAGAACTCCCTCGATACTCACAGACTGGGCTGCAAATCCTCGGCCTCGTCACCACAGTCCACGGGAACACACGCAGCTCGCTTCCTAAGGAGCCTGCAACGGTTCAGCAGGCTCTGGGGGGGGAACACAGGGAGAAATGGCGTGAAGCCATGGATAGAGAACTGAAGGCATTAGAGGAACGCAACACTTGGAAGGTTGTTCCCGTAAGCGTGGCACGGAACAAAACCATCCTTACCGGGAAATGGGTCTTCCGCATCAAGACGAAAGCAGACGGCACGATCGAAAAATTCAAAGCACGCTGGGTCGTACGTGGATTCGACCAAGAGCAAGGACGAGACTTCACCGAGACCTTTGCTCCAGTCAGCCGCCACACGTCACTCCGAATTCTCCTCGCCATTGCCGCCATGAAGAAGAAGAAGTTACGGCAGATCGACGTCGCGAATGCCTTCCTCTACGCACCTGTGGATGCAGAAATCTACGTCGAGCTCCCGCACGGTTCCCACGGCGAACCCAACCGAATCTGTCAACTACTTAAGTCGCTCTACGGGATCAAGCAGGCACCGCGACTGTGGCAGCAGTACCTGCACGCCCGTCTCATCCGCATCGGCTTTAGTCAACTACCTCACGACCAAGGCATGTACCGCCTCACTAAGGGAAGCGACTACGTTCTCCTGATCGTCTACGTGGACGATCTCCTCTACATTGGGTCAACCGACGGCATCACCACGTGGTTCGAAGGAGAGCTCCAGAAAGACCTCACGCTCACGGTCTCCTCCACCGTTACACAGTACCTCGGGCTCAACATCCGCGAAGAAGAAAACGCCATCTATCTAAGCGCCGAGAAATACGCCGACACCATCGCGAAACGTTTCAGCCTCACACCAAGCGCCATCTCCACGCCCTACCGCTACACATCAGGAACCGAGAAGGAACGAACTACTCTACTCAAGCCCGCCGGCATACGCGACTATCAGAAGAAGCTCGGATGCCTGCTATTCGCCGCCGTCACCTGCCGTCCTGACTTATCCTACTCCGCAAGTCAGCTTGCCACCTATCTCAAGAAGCCTGAAGCTGAACACCTGGCGGAACTTGATCGCG